ACAATTCACGTGGATAACAAGGCTGCAATCATGTTAATGAAGAATCCAGTGTTCCATGGGAGAAGTAAGCATATTGACACTCGATATCATTTCATTCGTGAATGTGTCGAGAAAGAGCTAGTAAGGATTGAGCATGTAAGTGGTGACGAGCAGAAAGCTGATATCTTGACCAAAGCATTACCGAGGGTCAAGTTTATCGAGATGAGGCAACTGATGGGCATTGAAGATTTGGCAGGAATGAGGACTGGAATCAAGGGGGTGAATGTTGGTTAATTCCAGTCCAGAATATAGTTTAAATTTAAAAATAAATAAGTAAAAAAGGGGCAGGCAGTTAGGCAGTTACAGGCAGTTTTATGACAGTTTCCAACAGATGTGTTGGTTAGGAACTGTTGTGTCTATTTGTAATGGTTGTGTTGTTTAGTCCTCTATTTATATGTATGGAAACATAGTTCTGGACAGATGTTCCACAATAATAAAAACACTGTTTATATACTCCAGAACTGATTTTTATTCTCTCAGACTTCAACCAATTTAACCATAGATTGATCAATAACAGCCTAGCAGTCTAGCACACCACAGTGACCCCAATGCAAGCAGTTTCAAGGAAGATATAAGAGTTCTCCCACCTGACCCCGGGCTAAGCATCCAACAGTTGGCTCTACAAGTTCGTCACCTGTTGAGAGGACAGCAATTGTTGGGATAGGATACACCTAAAATCCAAAACAGCATCAAGAAATGTCTTCAGCATGTAAAAGAAGTATGTTGAATCTCTAAAGGAAATTAGGGGGAAGATCAAGAGTTATGCTGGCTTGAAAAAATGAAAAGAAAAACAAATACCTTCACCGTTATCACACCAACTGTGGCAAGTAAACCAATTTCTGGAGGCCCCAAACGATCCCCAGATTTCAATACTATATCACCTTTTGCAATATCAGATCCCTGGGAATGTATGCAGAAGTAATTCAGATTACAGAAACATAGTCAGGAGATGAGGTCATAAGGATAAGGATGTATGAAATTGAAAATAAAAGCTCCAGTTTTTTAGGTATTCGCTATGCCTTCCAGGTATGATGACTTCAACAGGTTTATCTACTTTTCTTTCAGCAAGTTTTTTCTTCATGTAATGCGCTTCTTTTTTTCTCCCGGTGCATAACTTTCCTCAGCTAAAAGCCTATGCCCTTGTTTCGTTTGAAGATTTGTGGGGAGAAGGAGAAGTGATGGTATTGTGTTATCTGTTTGGTTGAGTTAGGAGGAAGGGGGGAGAAAGTAGAGGAACTATAGACTCCCTAAAACTCCTCATATCCCACTACCCAAGCGGGGGGGGGGGGGGGGGGGGGGGGG